TCACTAAGCACTAGAGCAACAGACTCGTCACGCAACCGAGAAGCCATACCTCACAATACGTTATTGATACGTGAACACTATCTGTACACAATAATGATTTAGTATCTCGAATGGTAAACACGTCGACAGCTGCGCTTTGTCGCAATTCGCAGAATTTGATAGCAGCCGGGGCAGTGGCGGGCCGGCTCACTCCCCACCGACATACATAGTGCTAGCATGAGCCCGTGCACATTATCACTAAAAGTCTTTTCGGCCAACTCTGCAATGCATGCAAAGGCCATTCCCCACATACGTTTTACTGTTAGTTATAACTAGTTGTGTAATTAATAACATATTATATGCTAAATTATTCATAGTGTAGCTGTGGGTAAAAATGGAACAGCATAAAGCCGTTAATTTTATATTTTATTTATCGTACTTCTGTACGACTTAGGTTACAAATACACGAACAATAAATAAACAATCTGCCAAGTTTTGGCAATCGGCACAGTTGATGCAGTCACATGAGGCTCCTGATGACCTCGATTAATTTAGAATTTATTAATTTGAATATTTTATTCATCCAATATCGATCTTATTTGAGGACACTATTTTATAAATTTTTCGCTCGCTCAAAAACCGTAGTTATTTTTTAGATGGAATGAAAGGAAGCATAATATGTCCTTCTCTGGATCAACGCGAAGCAACGTTAAGGATAATTCAATGCTGATCGGATAAACGGTACGGCAGAGCACGAATAATGAACAAATATAATATAATAAAATAAATAAACTTTATTCTGCAAGAGAACAGCATACAACTTAATATAACTAACTTAATACTAACCTTATACAACTACAATAATATTACATTTTTTTAGAGTGCAACACTATACTACGCTATCTGTGGTTTAGTAGTCTATGAGACTGTGATCATATATGACGTGGCGCTGACGCGGTGATCACTATTATTTTTGGTACTATGTTTTGCCACATAGATAGCTTGTGCGGATGAGAGTTGTACGCTGTGTCCCACAGAATAGGTGGACCCTCAGCATTTACTGTGATGGACATGGTCCGTCCCAGTACTGATTTTCAGTGCCCACCAGAATTACTGATTTGACGCCGACAGCCGCAATTACCACTGGATATCTCTTATGTGCTGCTTGTGATGTCATGTATGACACAAGGACTGGATTTGGTAAGTAGGCTATATTGTAAAAACAACTTAACGCTAGCACAACAAAAAAAAACAACCAAACTTATAAAACTACAATTGACTGTCACGTATTAACTACAACTACAACTAAAACTAAAACTTATCGCTTACTGTATGGTTATTATTATTATACCTATTAACTTACTAACTATCCTCTATTTTAGGTTTTCAAAATTGTGAAAGTACGCAAAGAGAAAGACACCGCACAGTCCGCCGACCCATCTCAATCAACCCTCCGTCTGGAGCACAACCAGGCTAGAAATAAGCAGTTGTAGGTGACCCATGAGTTATATTGATTTTTATATAATTGAAGTGAAGTAAAAATAACACTGCGATATAGAAATAGTACTGTTTAATGTTCCATCTACACGCAAAACTACATAGTACATACTTTGTTTTAACAGTATACTACAAGCAGAACGGAACACGGAACAATATTTACCACCGAATTATTCCAGTATCCTTTTAATTTAGCAAGCCCTGTTTCACAAGTTCAAATAATATTAAGTTGAAGAATACATTTTTACTTTGGTGGCATTTAATAAAATTTTTAATCATATTTCTACTACAAAATAAAATCAAACTTTCAAGAAAAGAGCGTACTCCTTCCTGAAAGGCCGGCAACGCGCTTGTGACTTCCGAGTTGCAGGCGTTCATGGGCGGCGGTAGACGCTTTCCGTCACGTGACCCGTATGCTCGTGTGTCCCCTATTCCAAAAAAAAATGTTGGCAAACATAATTTTCATTATTACTTTAATCGTTTTTCACACATTCGGTAGTCGAGCTTTGTTTTAGCACAATTGAGCCGGTCGGATCGGAGTCATGCATCGGCTTCGCAGAAAATTGGTGTTAAGCAAAGCATCATTCTTTGCTTTTCAGCGTGAAAGTTACAGAAGCCCAAACATCACATCACAGTTCAGTTTTTTGTTCCTTTATCTGACACAATCTATCATTAGATCATCTACATACATTGTGTAAGCGTTTTGCTATTCCAGGTACAGTGGCCATTACCAATATAAGCTTATTGCTTTAGTTAGTTTACAGTGTACGGTGATACTGCACTATCATGACAAATAGGTACCAATTTAAGTTGCGTGTGTACAAAGTAAAACAGTGTGTCAAGTGCAGATAGGAACGGGCCGGCTCGGCACAAAAGTGACACACCAGAGCGCGGCTATCCACACTAATACTACATTATGCGGCCGTAGACCAGTCGCGTCCAGTCCACCAAAACTGTGTCAATAGCACTTACGCTCAATACTTCTATCCTTGTTGCTACGTCGTCACATCTGACGAGTGTACTTTACACTATCGTTAAATTAACAATTACATACCAAGTATATGATACGTGCCAATAATCTGGGTTTGTGTCATACATAGCAAATGTACTGTTTCCGTTACACACTTATATGATCATAAATTTATATACATGCACATAAATATACGGCTGATACTTAAAGTTTATACTAATTGTTTAAACTGTGAACAAAGAAACCTCAATTTAAGCACACACTTGCATTTATACACACTCACATACACCCATACGATTATACTTGTACAATTAATTGTAAATATTAATTAAATAAACACGGTCAGTGTTGCAACATTAGGCAAATATTTGTGTGTTGTCATACTGTCAATGTTTGGCTCCAATGCACGCTGAATCGTTACCGTTGTTATTGTGATTGTTCTCCGGCGTACTTTCACTTGTTGGTGCCCGCCCGCACCTCCTGCATCACCCTCCCTCCCTCTCCCCCCTCCTCGTACCCTCGGAGCGCTGCTACGTCGCGTTCGCGCGCTCGGGTCAACCAGTCACGATGTTTGTTTCCAACAGAAGACATTACCAGAAAGAATCCAGAAGAAATCCGTTCAAATAATTTATTGTAATATTGCACTAATCTAGTGTTCAGAAGCCGATAAAAATGTATGAATTGTTTTTTCCTGGATCTTATCTATTAGGCAGTAACAATGTAATTAATTACCTATTTCCAACTAACAACTACTTAAATATCTTTTTATTGCCAGTACATTTAGTATAGTGATTAGAGACATTCAGACTTTACCTGACCTGACCCGAGCTTGGCGAATTTCAATATTTTACTGGGCTCGGAGTATATTGACTTGAAAGTTTAGAAGGGACTCGTTCTGGCGGGATTAGCATAATCGTTGTCGCTTATGGGTAAACCGCAAACGTCTGCGCAGACAGAGATAATCGGTACGACAGCAGAAGCTGAATCGATAAACCTTGAAAACTATCTATCCTTCTCCAATTCAGAAAGAACAGTTTGTAGCAAAACTACTTAGAAACCGAATCCTTCCAAAACAGCTTTATTGCAGTTATATGAAAATGTATAAGCTAGTAGAACGTTAGCGAAGGACTCTGTAGTAGCGGAACATTATAATATAATATATTTCACACATCTCACACACGGTCGTCTGATCCCAAACTAGGCAGAGCCTGTACTATGGTAACCAGACTACTGATAAACATACTTATATATATTTAAATACATACATATTATAGATGAATTACACCCAGACACAGAACAAATAACCGTGCTCATCACACAATATTTGTCCTGGGTGGAATCGAACCCACGACCTCGGGTTTAGCAGTCGGGGTCACTAACCACTAGACCAACAGGCCCGTCATTATTATTACCTAGCTACTATTGTGTCTCGGATAAAGCTATCAGTAGAGAACATTTTTTCATAAGTTAACAAAATGAAGAACTGCTTGGAAGTCCAACTAAAGTGTACTTTTTTAATGGACTTAATGAAATATATTCGTATTTACTCTATAAATAGGCAAAGTGGTAAAAGGAGATTTTGAAAGACTGACGTTTTACGCACTAAGTTCTCTCCATTTAAGAATGTTATCGGTGATTCGATTAGGAAGATATTTAGTCATAGAAGAGAGCAGCTGGTCACGAGAAAATACCAATTTTATTCGGAGCGTAACGGATCAACCGTCACGGGTGACTTAGAATCCAATATTTCAAAACCTACTGTTTAAGCTGGTGTTACGGATTTGTTGAATTCCCTGGTAATTCAATTAACCGAAGCCAATATACGTTTAAATCTGGTACTATTTACACAGTGTGCATACAATGCGCAAGTTTTAGATAATCCTCTGGTTTTTAAATTTTATATTGACGAGGCACCGAACGCAATATCGAAATCGCTCAAGAAGAACGATAGAATTGTCGTTCTTGAGGACTTGGACATTTGTTGCGACGCAGCAGCAAACCTAGCTGCAAGTATGTTTAATGGAAGATTCTGTCTGATTCTTCTACCCTTCAAAAGCAAGTGGTGATCTAAGCAATAAGCATGCATAAAAACATGGATAAAACAAATCTCATGTCTTTTAATTCACATCTTTGTAACGGAAACACTGTGTCGATTGTCGACCAATTGGATAAAATGCAGTGAATTATAACACACGTTTCTTTACAATGGCTTCGATCCATAAGTATTATCAAAACATTTCTATAATGAGTTCAATTCATTGTAATATCGATGCTTGTATTGAAAACAGAACGTTATTACTTAGATAGTTTAAAAATAAATCGAGTCGTCGATCATGTACAGCATAACATGTATGTAAAAGTACTTACGAGATTATAATATTTAGTGGAACAATATAAAAAAATCAAGAGTTTTAGCGTGAATAGCGCTCTCGTTTCACTGGTGTGTCTAAAATGCGTCACAGCGAAGAGTCTACAGATTACATAGCAAATCAACCTTAATCGTCATTGTCATTTATTCATGTTGTATAGCAGTTGTCGAAATAAATGTTGCACCATGAAAAAAGGTACAAGACGGAGTGAGCCGAGAGGCAGGAAGCGCGGACATGTCGTATGTAGAGCGAGAACGTCCGTGACAGTGCGCCCGCGCGCGCGTGGTGAGCCTCCACCGCAACCAGACTATCTATCTATTAAAGTATGTACATACTCGTACATAGAATTGTGCAAAGCAAGCGCACCAACGTTCATGTAAGTCTAAAAGCCTTAACGCGTGTAAAGCCTCGAATGGAAGTATGCTATTTGCTTGTACAACTAGTGCGACCGACTCACAATAAACACTTACATGGTAAAGATGATTGACGAATTGTATGTAAATCTAAATAACTATAATTATGATGACATCACGTCGCGTGTATCAACACACTCGGCGGTTCAATTGTTGCTGAGGTGACATAAGATTTTCCTAGTTATTATAATGGTATATGCATAATGTAGGTAAAGTGGCAGTTTCCTACGGTTAAAATAAACTATTCAGTACCTAGTCCTGAGATAAAGTGTGAAAAATAAGACAGAATAACTATATTCATTCCTGTCAACTGTTCAATTTTGTTTTTATTTTTTTATCCGTCAAAGTAAATATTAAAAGTCAATTATTTGGCAATAGTTGGATATAACGTAATAACTCAATATTTCATACAAATTTACACGAAAGAGGAGCTGATAAGACTTGACGGTTTTATACCGTACTGAAATATAGTAGGAAATATCATAAGAGTAACGGGAAACTAGAACAATCGGTCAGTGATTAGGACTTGCTAATTTAATAGTTGGCAAAAATACTAATTGAATTTAGAATAGTTAACAAAGTCCTTGAATTTAGAATAGTTAACAATTTTCCTCAGTAGTCATATTTTATGACAGTTTATCCTGAAATCAATCATATACATACATAGAGAAACTTTGACAATGAAGCGAAGATATTTTATGACAGTTTATCCTGAAATCAATCATATACATACATAGAGAAACTTTGACAATGAAGCGAAGAATTTATTCAATCTGGTGTGCGCAAGAGCACAGCAGACAATAAATGACAATAAAGCTATGAAGAATAAGTACCACGAAGCGATGGCTCGTGTCTCTCAATTTACTCTTGTCGTGATTGCTCTTAAGCGAATAGCAAATCGCTGTATCATGAATTTTACGACTATCCTGTGATCATTCGCGTCATATTTTTTGTCTATTGATATAAAGTGATGAAAAGTTAATCTTGGTATGGACATGTTATGCGGACCGATGAGGAAAATGTGGCGAAGAAAGTTTTAGGTATGGGAGTTGAAGGGTACAAGAGAAGAGGAAGACCAAAGAAAAGGTGGATGGACTGTATCAGTGAGGATATGGCTAGGAAGGGAATGGACGAGTGATAACGACGCATAGACCTTAATTATAAGAATGAAGCACAGCGCACATCTCGATACTGTATCGGCTGACATGGCGGTCGACTGGTGGCCAGGTATGCGCTCTCGCTGAAGCGGCGCGCGACTTGTGCGAACGTTCCAGCAGACTGCACGCGCACAGTCCAGCTCCAATAAGGCACGTGGCTAGCCAATCGTAAATATTATCTATGATTTTCATCGTTGTTGAAGTTCAGTTTAAGAAACTACAAAGCCCGACACTCAGATATTCGTAAAACATGGAATGCTGCGTATACATTTCAACCGCTTTACTAACAACACAATCCTTGTGTTCTAATGATGTTTGACTAGAGATAAGACCCATTGCAGAACATAGAAATATCTGGCAGCGAAGTGAAGTATTTGGTGAAAACGCAGTAACTGACCCCAACGTAGATTATATCTATCTACAAATATATATATAAATATGTTTGAAACTTTAAAAAAAAATCGTTTTTCGCGAGACCCGACCGACAAAATAAAATAGAATCTAAAAATTGCCCACATTATTGAAAACATTATTAAAACTAAAATATACTGGCAAGACACGATAGATACGAACGCCACGAGGGCCACTGGGGATCCATTGTTTGTTTAACCTTTCATTTTGCCAGTGTGTTTTTGAGTTTGAACAAAACACAGTTGGTGTGCGAGACAAAGGCGGCAACGTTCAAGTACAGTAGTGAGCGATATCCGAGGCGGCGCGGCGCGGTACGAAAGGCGCACGCCGCGTATCGGGGCCGTGCGGCGCTGATCCCGTTACAACTGTACCGCTGCTCTCCGCGTCGGCGCTCATGCACTCGGTGCACACCGCACAATAGCGCACTATCTCATCAGGCGACACTTTAATGTTAACAACTTCACACATACAATATATTTAGTGTTCAATTTGCAAAACGCAAGCTGTTGAACGTTGTTAAAGAAACCACATTAAAGCAACTCGCTGGAACAACCAAGATTTAACAGCTACAAAAAACAGTTTAGGATTGATCTACAAATCATGAATATGTTTCAAAATGCAGATCAATAGGCGAGCCACTCGAATACTTTTGCCGTGAGGTTAGTTAATAAGATCTATAACCAAGTTGGGCGCAGAGATAATAAATAATGACCACGTCTACCTGACGCCAAGGACTTAAAGAAAAAACACACGATTCTACAAAAGTTACTTCCTTTTAGCCGATATTATCACTCGGTTGTAAGAGCTCGGTCATGATCATTGGTTAGGGGAATCGATTAGCGGATAGACACAAAATGTGCAAACCGTAAGTAATAATTGTGCAAATCGTAACTATGTCAATAACAAGGTGTTCCATAGAAAACAAGCTCCTATTTGGCGAGTCGGGCGTTCACTTGCCGCAGAACAAACAAAATTAGAGTATAAAGGTCACAACCACGCACCGTATTCAGATTGAGATGTTTATGAATATAATTTAACAGTTATTTATCTCAACAATGTCCACGTTAGGTTCATTATGTATACGGACTTGACTGAAACAGGTTCCAAAACTTATGGTAGTTAATACATGCGGACGGCGTGTCAGGAGGTTAATGGTGCTAAATACATTAATATGTATTCTTTAGGCGTCGTCATTGAACATTGCTTTCTAGTCTGGTCTGGTCTCCATACAAACTCGATACTTGTCCGTTCTTATTTTATTTATTTAAAACACTATCGCATTTGAGCGCAGTTAAGGCGACGTCTGTTCCTATAATGTACAAAGGCCCTAACTCATTTTTTATCGTTATGGGTGCATTGTTTGTCATAGAACTGGTCGAATATTGTTCACCTTGACACCAAGATCATTACAGCAATGAATGTTATTAAGAGCCTGATACTTACAGCCGCCACACGACGGTGTTGGTGAGATTAAATTAAGCTATTAAAACAAAAGGTCAACAGATGGGAACAACAATTCGTTCATTATGTTTAGGTTAACGAGTACACTGGACGAAGTAGAAAACACACTTCGCTAAATGACTCCGGGACATGAGAAACCTCATTTATAATTATTTAACCTCATCGTCTAAGTGTAGATAGTGTACTGTTAAACCAAAGCATATCAAGATATAAGTGGGCGTATCTAATGACGGGAACTGTAAGGTAATGAGATAGACGACAGTCTGAAATGATTTGTTACTCGGTGAGCGTGTGCGTACGAGTATACTTGCGCTCTAATGAGCCAGAGGACAAGTTGGGTCACGTGATCTGCCCGCTTTACGGCGTTTCCGCTGACAAGTACTTTAGAACGGTGTCAAATGTCAAACTGCCGTTACTCTGACAAAAACCACCACCGATAAAATTGCTTCATATCTACTGAAGGTTGATGGATTCTCTTGGTATACTCTTGATAATATTAACACATTTGAGGCTGTGCCTAGTGAGTGGATATTTTATTAATACAAATTTTACACAGGGATTGTTTAACAAAACATATAGTAAGTTAAAAGCCTACAAAGATTCACAAAGATACAAGGTTTTAATGTACAATTTAAATATAACGATAAATTAAATAATTGTGGTGTCCATTGAAACAGTACTTTTTAACATAAACGAGTAATGTAGGTCGCCAATAACAGTCACCTAGTTCACTTCAGCCTATGCGCTGACATCGTTTTAGTACAGTACTGCATAATATTCGCACGCAAACTTTCTCGATGATGAGGCTGACAGCCCTTAATAACCAATTGTTTAGAACTCTTCTAAGGAATATTGTGCAAGCAGATGTGCAGTTGTATCACCAACGCTCGTACAGTAACGGTTAAGTGTTATCTCTCTATGAGCAATGAGAAAAACATATGCCGATAATATTGGGTACCTAGTTGATTAATCCCATGGTCAGCAAATACATAAATACTTTTTTGTTTAATTATTAAACGTTGTATGGAGCAATGATCGTGATATACGCTGTATGCATATTGAGTTGAAAGAAGTTACAAAACTTTCTTTAGCCGATTTGAGGGTTTCCCTGCATTGCGGTGTTTTAGCGATCGGCACAGCGGCAAAAGTCGACAGTTCAGTACCTGCTATGCATTGTTTTGTGATGCGGATTTGTTAGGTTGACCCTGTACGACTGGTGGCGCTTAGTCTGGCGGCTACCAAACTTGCCAACAACAAGTAAAATGCATGTTTAATGTAGACTGTAGTGTAATACTGACTGTAGATTAAACAGGCACGTGTAGCATATTCTATGTTGTCTGTCAAAACTGTATGCAATCTTCAGTAACTTAGGGTCGGTTTCACGTGCCGATGTCGGACAAAGCGATGACAAGTCGTCATCAATAGCCTTTAACAGTCCAGTGCTGGACATAGGCCTCAAGGAGGACAAAGGAGGTTTTGGCCTACTATACCACGCTAGTCAGACGGGTTGGCATAGGGTTTGTTTCAAGTTTTCCTTCTCTGTGCAGTGCTGTTGTCCTGCGTAGTTTGCTCCCTTAGTTCGCTCTTACGACACCCACGGGATGAATAGGGGTGGTGACACTGCGAATTCTTAATCCGTCACCACACGGACCGATGTATTACATTTTATTAAATGAGAAACGGTTATCAGTTTCACTAGCTACGAGACCTAAACTCATTGTAATCACTTGCTGACTAATGAACTTGAACTGGTAAATGGTTCATCGACGACTGAATATGTTTGTGTATTTTATGGAAATGTAATGTTTGTTTTTCTTGTCCGAATCAATGCTTAATTGACTGTATAATCTGTTTAGAGACCAGTTTATAAAGGAAGTGCCTGACAATGGGAATCATCAATGGTTTCCTAGTTAGTTGCAATGGTAATCCATTGCGAAAGCTAAGCTTACATCAATGTCTTGTAATCGGTCCTATAAGGAGGGCACTTCCACCCAGAGGGAAATCAGTAGCAAACGACGCATTGTTTCTGATGGTAATTACCAAACATAGACCCACGCAACTAACTGCTGAGCAAAATACGACGGTACGCCTATTGTATAACAAATAACCTTTGTTTTATGTTTTTTTTTTAGGAATACAATAAAATACTAAATATATATGTGTGACCTTATGATTTTGTGAATATGGGCGACACAGCTAGCGCAACTGAGTTTGAAACTATCGCAGAGGAGGCCAATTCAAATGTCACATTTTTTTATCAAACGGGAAATTACGCTCTTAACAAATATATTGATGGTTTCGCGTGCCATTTGCAAGTTGATTCGTTCAGTAAACACCACAGCACTATTAAATGTGTCGAGAAAAAAAAACATTCTATAGTAACAGTAAGCGCGCGCACACACAGAAAAATTCTGACCTGGCATATTCTTTGAAGAAATGTGGGCCGACATTTCCACCTGCCCATAAAGCACATCAAACAATGGCTTCTAATGAAGATAAGGGCGTTTTAAGGGCATAGGCTTTAAGCTCTTTGCACTCCAAGTTTTATATTGAAGAAACCGTTTTCACTTGAAACGGCTCATTTATTTATTCATCGCTGAAAAAAATATTAAGTTAAAAACGAGGATCAAGCTGGATATTGTTTTCGATCTAATTACTGAACGTTCAGCGTGCACAATGATCACGCGGGTATAACTATTGCACAAGCTGGATCTTGTAAGCACATAAAATAATTTATTTCATCAAAATCTGCCACATAGTGGACCGGTACATACATCAGCGATTTACAGCAATCGCTTTGACGAATTTCAGTCATCAAAATGATTCGCTGTATGTCTTTTTTGTGTTAGTAACTAAAACTTACGTAGTGGAAAATGATAGATGGTTTCCTGATAACTGTCTCGAACTATGTCAACCGTAAAATGGACTAAGTTTGGGAAACTGAACCATGACTCTCAAAATAAATTTGAACTATTTATTTGCAAGCGTTATTCACGATGAAATGGCTGAACTCAATGGTCATCAATCAACTGGCACAAAACAACTATTGATTGACACAATCTAAAAACAATAATATAATATTGTATCACATTCACACAACGCCATCTAGTCCCAAACTAAGCAGAGCTTGTACTATGGCTACTAGACAACTGATATAAACACATACATACTTTTTATTGTAAATACATACATATTATGTATCCAATATATAAACCAAACCGCCAAAACCACCCGTTAGCAACCTGTATTCATTTAATTGATAATTGTAGCAATGATTGGTAATAATCGCTGCATTATCAATATAACATTGAAGCAAATAATTCACGGTTGCCATGTTGTCTTTCATGAATTCGGGATCAATCATCGTCGATTTTACGCTCATATAATATTAACAAATACACTAGAAAATCAATGGAAAATTGTACATTTTCGTTAACGTAATCAGATACTGCACTGGACGTCAGGCGTCATTTATTTATAAAATTTATCAAGATGTGGATACGAACACGTCATAAAGTACCTACCTACTACTTTTGAAGTTCAGATACAGTGTAAAAAAAAAATTGACTGCACAGATAGCGTAGTAGTTTAAGCGGTCACCTCACCGCTTCCTACTGCATTAAGTGTTGTGGGTCCGATCCCCATAACGGACAACATTTTGTGTGATCCATCAATTGTTGTTCTGAGTCTGGGTGTTCTTTGTGTCCGTTTCATGTATGTTTGTAAAGTCACCACAGGATATATTCCTACTGCGGAAGTTGTCTTTAAAAGAAAATATAATTAGATGGAAATCAGTACAGAAATACACTAAGAAGTTATGTAGATCCATGTTCTTAGAGCACGAATACAACAAATGCTTCATTGAAAATTAAGATAAAGGTTAGATATACACTTAAGATTCGTGTGAAACAGGTCCGATAATGGCGTTTCAAACAAAAGGTTGCAAAGACCGTTGCTGAATAGATAATACGACACATAATGTACTCGTATTAGCACTTGCTCGATGCTAGTGTGTTAGTGGGCTTCGCTCCTGTGATGGGGGAAGACTGTGTAAAGAAGGGCAAAGTAATTTGTCGCGTCTGGGTTACGGAAATCATGTTTTTGATTATCTTAGGAGAGATTTGCGTTATGGCGAACTAGTCACAATATTGGAGAAGACCCCATAGTATAATGATGTTAAGAAAAATATGTCATCCTTAACATACTACTTTATTAAGAACTAGCGATCCGCCCCGGCTTTGCACGGGTGCAATGTAGATACCACTAATATGGTGTCAGTGTGAAGTAATTAATTAAACTATTATTATGATAGGACTATACTACAGGACATCTTCAAATGCAATATTTTTAGTCCCGCTGGGACGGTCGTTGGGCCCCCGCATTTTAAACCTCTAATATCTTCTAAGCTATTCATTTTAATTATATGCAGTAAAAAGCAATTTTAATCTACATTAAATTAACAACGTATCTTATTTAATTGGATACTAAATAATAATGTATTGTTTAAAATAGTTATGTAAATAACCCATTATTTTTTTGTAATATATTATAAGATAAAAATGGATACAGTGGGTTATCCTTAGGAGATAGACATATACCCATCGCAGACTTTTTTATTAATCTTTTCAAAATATACAATTTCGTTGTACATTATTTTGGTCTATCTCATAAGGTTTACCCAGCGTTTTCAATGTAAGCGCGCATAACCTTGTTTTTAAAAGACAAATCTTTGAAATTTTCTGCACTATAATATGCATGTATTATACATATAAATCTTGCTCTTGGATCTCTATCTCTATTGGTAAAAACCGCATTAAAATCCGTTGCTTAGTTTAGAAGATCTAAGCTTACAACACAAAAACGTGACTTTATTTTATATCATGTAAAGATAAGTTTGCAAGCCGTTCTTTTAAAAAAAAAGTATATTAACTGACATGGCATCAATATGTTACACACTATGTACAACACACGCATGTAAATGAACAAAAACAACATTTTGCTGTTATACCGAGTCACGTTACATGTTTACAAAAGATACATAATAATATTCTCGTGTTCCTGGCAGTAACGATAGACAAAGATTTTGGCTTTTCACCGACATTTGAACATTTCTTACCGAAAACACATTTCATTATTTTTTTGACATAATAAGGGTCAAAGGAGGCTATCATACTCGTAGGTAGACGTCCTCTGTCATTATGAGTCGCTTTTTAATTTAGCATCTAAACGAGCTCGTTTGACCGGTGCATTATTAATTACGTAACTGTCTAATTGAATCGAATTATCAACTTTCTTAGAAATATTCTAGAATAGGGTCAATTACGGACAACAGCCGTAACAACTTCGTTCGAATTTCGTATCAACTTTAGCTACAACTGCAACGTTCGGCGTGCAATGCTGAACATGACATCTCCCAGACATTGCACATTGATCTTCCTGCCTTTTGAGGATATTTTCGGTGTTACTAGTGCGGGTGTTGCAACGTTGGGCCTTCTCCGCTCCGTGGTCACCACTCCAGTCCCTTTCCACGATGTCTTTCGGGTTTCCTAAATATAACACTGGTACTTTAAATTTATCTGAATTCTAAATGCATTTACTCATATCGTAAACATAGCTACAGTTTTACCGTTTCTTGCTGTTATCCGGATATACAGTTTTATTCACTTGTGTACGTCGCAGATGTCCGATTAGTCTTTTACAAAGGTTTTTCACTTCAAATAATTCGTATCTCGTAAACTTTACTTTTTCAAGACTCGTCGTCAAACTTTAAAGTTTTTTCATGTGGCCTATAGTTATAAGTCAATAGGCCATGTCCATACCATACCGTAAACCATGACTGGTGAAGGTTCTGAATCTAATCATTGGGGTAAACCGGAGTAGAATATCGTGCGTAACCATTGACCTACCAAATAACTGTATCGGAGCGCATAACTGTACGTTTCCAATATATTTATTATAGCAATGGTTCAAAGCTATTATTACGTTTACCTATGTAGCTTTATTAGACTCTACGATTTATTCGACTGCTGTCAACATGTCTCTTGTGTCTTGTCTATTATATGAACTTACGGAACGCGTAATATCGTCAGCAATAAGCAATAGTTGATGTTGGTTATTAATCTCTGGTTTAAATCGGCAAAAGCCGGCAATGTCTGTCGATTCTTAAAATTTGTGCTTTAGTACCAGTTGTGTGTCGAAAGGTAAGAGCGTAGTCAAGGATCTCTGTCCGTTGGAGCGAAGAATTGACATAACATGTTCAACAATTAAATATTTAAACTTTTTAAACTTTTCTCATATGAACTTCATTATATTTTATTCATTTTAAGGGAATGTTAAAAACTGGTAAAAATCTTTAGTTTGTTAGGATTGCTCTACTAAACACTTGTAGATAATGTCACAACAACTCTGCTCAGCTGAGAACCATTTCATAAGTAAATAGTTAAGTATGTTACGTGTGTATACCATCGATATACTCTAAAAACCGTGTGCAATGAACTGTAGCAAGATCTTGCACCATCTGTGACGACTGGATACCGATACCGTTAAAGTAACGTTGCACCTTCGTGCGGTCGTGACACCATATGTTGTAACCTCTATCTGAGGTGTGTTCCTACCCTTTCCTACATAAAACATTGTTTATGTGGTGATACTTACGCGACAAGACCACCGAGGAAAGCAACGGGGCCACCGCCGATAAGTCTGATCTTCCGGTGGCACGAATCGAAGAGCGAGAGCCTCGCGTGTGGTGGCGGCGGCAGGCCGACCATACCGCCGGTCGTAGCTGAACGTAACATCACGTCACATGCCCTAGCGACACTCACTGTGGGGGCCTGTTTCTCGGGCCGAACTAAACACAACACTAGCCGGGCGCGAGAACGCGGTACACAACAGCTGAGAGCGTGTCGGGTCCACCGACCATCGCAACACACGTCAATTGGCACGCGGCCTGCGCGAGACTGTCCCGAATGCACGAGAGTCGCCGTCGCCGCGCGCCCCTCGCACCCTCCGCGGCGCCCTACCCCTCTCCTTATACATCTGACGTGACTTTGAAACAGCGTTCTATTGATTCATTTTTACCTCTTTTTTTATTTTTACGGCTACAACTTTTCTTTTCTTTCTGTATGTTTATTACCTTAACTGATAATAAGAAATTAAATCGGTTTAGTTTCACTAAACCCTGTCGTTTCAAAATGAATAGCAATTATTTATTATTATCTAACATTCTGCTCGTACATTCGCAAAGTTTTTATTCTAGGGACAAAAGCCTTTTTACTTGCGATGATAAATGAAGTTAGGCAAAGTGAAATTTGTTCAATGAAAATGCATTGTTCTCTATAAAAAGTACCATCAATGGGAGGATTTAACGGGCGGCAATATTTCAAAGTGGCACAACAAAGTCGCAAGGAAGTGGCGCAGCGGTGGGCGGCGATCAGCTGATTTAACGGAGAACAACATTGGCGGACGATGAAAGGGGGGTAAGGTGAAATCAATGCGTACACTTGCGTCTGTAGGTGTAGCTATTGTACAGGTATTTATTGTTGTATCTGTTTACGAATTACAATGTAACACACGATTTAGTTCCAGGTATTTTGGAACATTTTGGCATGAGGGACGTTATTCAATATAAATCATGCTATATAAATTTTAGGCAGATGTTTCAAGAGTGTCGTAAGTTAAACTGCAGCATTATTAACATTTCTGCTCTGCCTTCTGGTGTTACAAACAAAACCATAAAAAAAGATAAGTCCACAAAAACTTAAAAATGTAATAAATTTGATTATTTTCTTTAATTCAAAACGTCTTAATCCTACCTGGAGAGACACAAAATTAGACATTTCAAACATTAGATTCCACCGCTCTATCGGCTAAAACATCAAATAAATAAAACTCTTTTCAATTTAAGAAAACTATTTAAACATTATTTGCATCCACTGCACAAGCACAAGATGATATACGCATACGAACCACACGTTCCAAATTTGAACAAAAATAAAAAATAATAAGCATCTGGATCTGGTCTGGATCGTTTTTTTTTATTCTAAAAGAAGAACGAACCTCATAGGTACTAAGTCAGTATTACAGTAGTACAGTATTAAGTCGAATTAAGAGCCTCCTTCTATTCTAGATTCGGTAAAAACAAAACATGAAAACGAAAACCAAAGACGTGTCGTTTGAGCGTTGTTCACGTTTTTTTAGTTTTTATTATTGTATTGTGTTAAATTCTGTGTCACAGTCATACCCACAAGCGCAAAGTGTGTTAAGTACACAATGTGTTCCCACTGTTTATACTCACTATATTTAAGTTAGAAGTACCTTTATTAGGACAAATTATGTCAACAGCGTGCGCAATGGCCATTCATGAGATCCGTTTAAAACAAGGAATCAATCGGAACGGTGGACCGACCGTGACGATCGTTGGCCTATCGAGTGGAGGCCCCACGATTTTATAAGTCGATACTCGCCATATATCAGTCGACAGGCAATTCTATAAGCTTTAATGGATTGAAATAATTAGCCAAGCCATTTTGTAAACTGGTTTGTTCTAAACTTTCCTCATCGTGTGAACGAACGAAAGGAAAACTTCTTTGTTAAGAAATTCAAACTTCAATAAAATTGGTTAAAAAAAGCAAATAATACCTAATATGCTTACTGTTAACTAAAAGCTGCCTGAATTTATGTGTGTAATACATCAATGAAACTGTCATGAAAATTGGTAAATTAATTTATAAGATAGGAACGGACATACAATCATCCATCCATATGGATCTAAAACAGAGCCTCTTTTCAGAAAATCTGTTTATAAACTAGAAGTGTAAGAACCATTGAATAGAAAGTTGGTTTCTTATTACCTTTCAACTTTGTGAAATGTGTTAGCATAGAAGAAAAAGACTCCTGAACAAGTATGAACTGTACCAAAGAACCAAGTAGGATTTTCATAGTTTATCAGGATCTATCACAAAACTATTGAGGAGGTCCCCTCCAAGTTCTTGATGTTAAGGTTGGTCAACAGAAGTAATGAGTTAGGACCTGTAGTCCAATTGTTTCATCTTATCCGTTCATAGAAAAAGACGGCAGTCTTTATAGTCTTATCTTTTGTCCTTTTCAGTGGTTGGGGCCAGGTGCACGTGGCGCTCTTTCGGTATGCGTGGCGCGCAGACTACAGAACTGGTTAGAGACGTATTATCCGTTCCACCAGCATTCAAACCTTGCCGCATCACATAACAGACGATCTGCTCATTCATTTAGAGGGACAACTCAGGCAACTTTCCTCTTTTTCAGAGCAGTAAGAAGTAGCAAAGCGTATTTTGTATCATGTACAGAGATTGTTAGGAAAGTTGTATTAAGAATTCAAACAGTGGTTTGAGAATAGAGAACTAAGCAAGAAAAAGGGTACGGCCTTTATTTTTTATTGGCCCATTCCTCATGTCTGTGAGTGCAGTATTTGGCACTTGCTTACTGCAATCATGCCATTTCTGCAGTTTCGATTTGTATAATTACTATAGTAACATGTAAGTACTCGTTGCCGGGAGGTTACTGCATTGCTATTTATGATCCTAGCGTGAAGGTAGACACCCTATTTTGTTACTAATGGACACTATCTAACACGAAAAGAATTATTTAAATCTGGCTGATAGTTTCAGAGGCTGAAGATTAGAGTGTTCAAACTCTAATCTTACACTAACAAAAACATTTTCATCTTCATTACGAGTATGTTAGTATAGTTGTCAACTAATCTTGTAATCTGATGGCAAATAAGTGACGCGACATGTATAATCTTTTAACAAGCCAACGCGGAACCAGGGCAGAGCTAGTCTTATGCGATTAATAAAGGAGTTACGCTCAGTTTTCCTACACATTTGATGATTGTAGGTTGCCAAGCAGAGAATAATATAAATAATAAAGGGAACCGCCACAATACTCGGCTTACGGGAACCGAGTACACTGTAAAACGTGACGTAGTTATGGACTTGATTGGTCATTTGGCATTATCAACCTACTCCTTACGAAGTACTTTCTCTTCTTTTCTTTGATACAACGTAAAAAATCGAGATTATATTTTAACAGAAAGCGAAATTAAACATAAAACCTGTACATAGTTATAAGACTCAATAACTTATAAGTAATTATAAGGCAACGTATAAAATTCGTTTTCCGTGACAAGGTTAACTGGATTGATGTAATCAAAATAATAATAACAAGCGTAAATCACGAATATGACAACTTGGCAACATTTTATTTTTAAATATAAAACTGGTTGAAATATGTTGTTCTAGAAGTAGCTTCTTCCAATTATAAGAAGGAATTTATTGACAACAATAAATCAGTAGTAAAGTTAGAGGGATCTTCGAGGACTTCCCAGCAACAAGCAATTAGAGTTCTAGGCATGTGACCTTGACCTATTCGAGCATGCAAGCCCTAATCTATCCGCATAAGTAATAGCGCTCTCCTGCCATTGCCACACCTTATCTATCTTTCGTTTCAATATACATACTTCCAATTTTCTCATCTAATCCCTGAAGTGCCAGTTGACGGTAACAGGCTCGAACCCTTTTACGAAAGTGTTACTAAAATTGTTATTGGCAAAATATATCCGTTTAATTATTGATGTATCAAAATGTAATACATCTGGGTCTATCTCTTTCGAGATTTAGGCGTAAGTATACACGACCTTGCTTATAAATAAATAAGCGTGTTGTAGCTTATGTTTTTTTCGTTTAATATGTAAATATACACTACCCGAGCCAGATGTCACGATATGACGTTGTCTTTTTTGTCAGATGTCTTTAATTATTGTAATTGGTAAAACCGTTATAATAAGTTAAAGTAAATAAATAAATAATGTCACGTCTCCAAGTAAACGTGCCGCGCTCTTACGAGTATTGCGGACTCTAAAGGAAAATAGCGGAGATGAGTTTTTCCCGGCGCTAGCGGCACTATTTGCATTTAATTGTAGCATTGCGGACAAATGTTCAAATAGAACGCGGCAATTAGTAGAAAAGGGAAAATATAACAAATAGCAAACTAACTTTTTGGAAAATATACCTACCTAATTCAATAGACTTCCTAGATAATGTCTACTACGCTTAGCGAGTCTTTTTTATAATAATAATAATAATAATATTGTACCACATTCACACAACGCCATCTAGTCCCAAACTAAGCAGAGCTTGTACTATGGGTACTAGACAACTGATATTAATACATATATACTTTTTTTTTTTGTAAATACATACTTATTATACATAGAAACACCCAGACCAAATCAAACATTAAATGTTCATGCACACAAATGTTTGACTTGAGCGGGAATCGAACTTTAAAATAGGTTAAATAGGTTTACTTTTTAAAATAGGTTTCTTTATTAGTAAGTTATTGCGTGTTGTACACAATTACTAGAAAAACCAATCAATATTTTATGTTTTTTTTTAATAAATTTATTAACGTTTCAAGAATTCTGATTGAAAAGAAAGTAGGTATATTACAATCACTTTTTAAGTCACTTTTTGTGTTTCGAAGGTATATTATAACAGCGAAATTTGTCATAGAAACAAAAAAAAACAGATTTATTCAACGTGGCCTTTTTTGTTAATTTAGAAATACACAGTATTACTTAATACTTTCTAACAACTGCGGTAAAAGAAATACATAAAAATAATTGATCTTAAATGTTCCGATAAATCAAGTAAAACATTGCATTTCAATGTAAGTATGTTTGTTCGAGTCTTCTCTCTTCAACTCACGAATGTGCAAACTATAGATTCACTTAACCTGCTCTTATAATATAATACACTAAATTACACCATTATTTTCTTTGTGTATTTTTTTCTAAGTAGTTGAGTTCTGTTTCTAATCCATTGATCACAAGTCCGTAATTTGTGCACTATATGTATATACCAGATTGACTGAAAATAAAACTACGGCTGCTTATAGACCGTGCACGTCAGTTCTGGCCTCAGCGCTCTGCTATCAGCGCCGCTGCAGGTATTTACACGAAGCGCCACTATGCTACTACTGTGTATATAACAAGTCTAAAATAAAAACTTGTTCTTTTCTTTATTTTATTCGTTAGCTTTTGCTAACAGCTTTGCTCACTTTCATGTCGATTTTATCAATCAATACAAATCAAGAAAAAAGTAGCCTATATGCTATCCCGACCAAAATCTATTTCTGTACCAAATTTCATTCAGATCCGGTCTGTTAAGCTTTCTGACGTGATCGACTAACAAACATCCATCCAAACATTAGTATTTACACTAGTATGAAGATTATTTTTTAAGATATACTATTTTTTTTAAGTACCGATTACAAATAAGAGAATGTAGTTTTTGTCAGGATCGTCGACTTCAAATGTAGTAAAACGTAATAGCGAGCTGCCGTTAATTAATTGATCATATAGATGATTTCACAGTCGGTGTGGGTGTGGCCATGCGAGGTGTGGACGAGTGTGGTGTGATGGTCAGCGTACAGCGTCACCGCTGCGCCAGCAAGCTCGAGTGTGCGGCGCCCACGCTCGCGGAGAGCTGTGTCCTTGACATTACCGCTGCGGAACCTGCCGCAGTTACATCACAACACCGTGAGTCGCACCCGCCACCCGCACCGCGACACTCGCCCGTCGACTTTAACAATTACCAATATGTATCGGTTTGACCTCTAAAAAATTACGGTACTTTCTTAACTATACATAATATATCTTGTATTGAACAAATAAATTCACAACAGATTTATTGAATATATTAATAAAGATTGCAACTGTTTAATGTTCTGTTTATAAATATTGAATGGCACGGGTATGCAGTCTTACCGGTACCTCTCAATATTAACACTCGTGAATTTCACATACCCATTTATTTCGTTTATGTGCATGTATCATTTGTATTTCGCTGTTTTTTAAAAATGTAATACACAAATACTCGTAAACTGCGGCTCCACATACATTTACAGTATTAGAAGTAGTTTGAACCTAAACAATCAAACCGCATGTTTGTTTAGTAATAAGTGCAAAGAAAACAATATAAACGCAAGGTACACGCCACAAGAAAATAGTATATATTTTAACAAAATACATAGAAAGTATTTAAAAATTAGGCAAAATATAAAATGAAGAATATTGCACTCCATTCCTTCGTGTTGAACAAATACGAACTTTTACCAGAACAAATAATGACATAAGATAGTGACTACTCCATCAGGCACAGACATCTAGCGCGTAAATAAACATCTATGTTTATTTATTCTGTGGCCGCTGTGGGACGCCTCTTTATCGCTCTCCGGGGCTATCATATCAACAATTTACGTCTAATAGTGAAAGCTGTTGAGCTATGAGAAACGAAAACGTAATCCAATTAACTCTTAACAAGGGTTTTACCAACATCGGTGCGCCTAAATCATCATGAATTGTAATAAATATTATTTTTCCCTTAGTTTTCCGCTTTTGAAAAATTAACTAGATTCAGCTTTAAGTCCGACCAATTGAATAAAGAAGAGAATGATTGCTGTCATTTCAAATACATAGCTCCAACGTTTTGTAGGTGGTTAAAAAGAAGGCAACAGAAGAATCGAATATCTTGTCCGACATTGCCTATAATAAATCTTCGCAGAAATTCCTAATACGTCCTGTACTGTTTATTCCAGGGAATATGCATGTCCTTCCTATTGATGACATACAATTTTTCTACAAAACTAAGGGCGGCGACATATTCTCAGCGCAAATTTTTCAAATAATTTTTTAACGAATCTGTAGTTTTATTTCACAGTACCTAATAAAATGCATTCCAAAATATATAAAAAACCCCCACCTTTTCAATAAGAATCGTGACGAATATAATTCGCAGCTTTTTCTTTAATAGTTCGTGTTCAAAACAAAAACAAAAACAAAACAGACTTCAGTGCTCAAAAATGTCAGTGACCCCGCAGCACACATACATAAGTAAACCACGCCCGCCGACCTAATTGGGGTGGAAAGGACCACAAATCGTCAGTAGACAAACTTCCAGCCACATTTGGTATTGTCGTCCCTATTATGGACATAAGGAATCTAATGATGAAGTTTACCATTACTGGACAAAATCCCTTATTAGGCGCCAGTACATAGAGGGAGGTGATAACTTTACGTTTTCCTAAGTCAGTACAAAGTGCACACACTTCAGACATTTACGGTACACTTACGGTATGGATTGTCTACAAGCTTAAAGTCTCTCAGCGTGCTTTGGAAAAAGCTATGCTCGTTGTTTCTCTAAGGGATCGCATCAGGAATGAGGTGATCCGGCAGAGAACCAAAGTCATCGACATAGCCCACCGGATTAGCGAGCTGAAGTGGCAGTGGGCTGGCCCCGCAGAACCGACAACCGTTGGGGTAAACGAGTTCTTGAGTGGAGACCGCGTCTAGGCAAACTTTGTGTAGGACGCCCACAGGCCAGGTGGAGGCCACCTGATTTTAAGTGACTGCCGCCCTCACAGGTGGGGTGGAGGGAATGTTGTTCCTCCGGTAAGGCCACTCACTCGGTCGAATGCAAAGAAAGAATTGCTTAACACCTAATATATTATCTGCGAGGGGTTGAACATTACGATTTGCCGGTAAGCCGGTAAATCGTAATGTAATCGTAATGTTTATATCTTGTTGCCTGCGTGTATACATCGTAGATGAATTCAAATTGAATAATGTGTTATTCAAATAGATATTCCTCATAATGTGCCTTGGACCCACTATTATATTGATCGGTTAGCATAATATGCCGCACTATTGGCGCAAAGTGGAATAGCGGGCCTTATACCGCAATTACATGGCTGCTTTCACTTAATGAATAGTCTTGAGTCGCCTCGTTAACCTTTGATAAGTCGAAAATTCCTTAACAACGCAAACTTTGTTCAAGAATACACTACACTTTGGATCAGTACTTTAAAGGCCCTTGAAATATTCAAATTTTGTGCTCTTATAGTAAACCAGTGTCCATCGTAGCGTAACGACGTCCACATTAAATATAAAAAATCATAACATTTAATTAAAACTGGAACTGCACATTCCATATAATTAATAATCTAGTTGATTGACAAATATTCTTTCAGTTAACGCACCATCCATTGTACAAACCATGTACAAATATGAATATTTTAAAACAACAAATGCTTTAAGTTATATATTTAATTTAAATGACTTAGGATTCTTTTCGAATATGTATGTATTTTAAATAATTAAATTTAAATGCATTTTAAATAAATATGTAAAGAAAAAATTAATATGAGTAACTGGGAAAATACCTTGAATCATGTGCCCAATTAAAATTTACCAGCTAATGTAAGTTAATGTAAAAAATAAAAATATTTAAAGAAAGTTGAGTTGTTAATCGTAAATGTTTGGCTATCGTGAGTAGGTAAACCTTGACCTCAATTCGATTATTTCTAGGTAGCGCTGGCGGCGGTGGCGGGGACAGCTCGCCCGTACACGGTATCAGGAGAGGGGACATCACGGGACTTACCAGAGGCAGTCCAGCATGATAGAGACATGCAAGTGGCGCCCGCAGGCCGCACTCACCTGCAACAACAGAACATCGCGTTAGCCACGACCAGCGGATACATGGTGTAATAATTGACAATTGTATACTACTTGAATGAGAGACGAAACTACCTTCCTTGTAAATGATGTTACATTACTCGTACTTGATAAGAGCGAACTTGTTTTAATTTATGAGCTAAAAAATATATTACAACATGTGTGTCATGGCGATATGTATAGTTATAGAGATAAACCTTACATTTTAATTAAATGAGTAAATAGTAAACAAATGTGTTCTACCGATCGGAGGTTATACGTATGTAGTGAATCAACAATTGGCGCCATCTAGTGAACGTCAGAAGAACTAAAAATATTTATATAATGTATTTTCAACAGAGTGATATGAAAATTACGAAGGCGATTTATGTGTGTAGTTAATGTTTTATGTAATTTATTAATAATTTTGCTTTCGAGAACTGTACTTTTTTCTGATATGTCTGTTTCTATGTTCATGGCAAGGTATAATATATATATCTAAAGTATATGCAAAATTTTAGGATGAACGGCACGACAGCGCATAAACACGAACAAATATACATTGACCTTATATCTATAGTTAACAATATACATTATGAATGTTACATGTTTATTAAAATAGAGTGAAGGTATAAGAGCTGTATGAAAACGTTCAGTAATGTAAAACCAAAAAGCGATGGACTGTATCAATTCGATAAAATGCATTCTAATTTCTTTTTTTCTTAAGACAACTCCTGCATTAGGAATATGTTCCTGTGTCGCGGGGGCCTTTACAAACCTACATGAAAACACAAAGAACACCTAGACTCAGAACAACAATTTGTGGATCACACAAAGTGTCGTCCCATGTCGGGGATTGGACCCATAACATTCAGCGCAGTAGTAAGCGGCGTGTTTGTTGTTAGAGTAATGGTTGATGGTACAGACAAGAAGAATATTTAAGAGCAGTGCAATCCATCACGATGAGTGTAGGCAGCTAGCGCTCAGTACGTGTAGGTATACATAGTACATAGACTGGCCTGGAACATAACTTGGTGGTATATCTAATACTAGCTGACCCGCGCAACTTCGTCTGCGTCTACCAATAGTAATAAATTTTCTCCGTTTTTGAAACATTCTTCATTGGTGCTCCGCTCCTATTGGTCTTAGCGTGATGATATATAGCCTATAGCCTTCCTCGATAAATGGGCTATCTAACACTGAAAGAATTTTTCAAATCGGACCAGTAGTTCCTGAGATTTGCGCGTTCAAACAAACAAACAAACAAACAAACTCTTCAGCTTTATAATATTAGTATAGATATTGGATACATGAGCATATAAAAAGTTTAATGAACAGTGCATAGCGTCACGTCCAGTCATCGTTAGAAGCCATCTGGCCGAATTGCCTGCGAACATCACATGTATTTAGCAGAAATACTAAAATAACTCGCAAAAATAGTCGGCGTCTTTAAATATCCAAGTGTATGTGCACTCGCCAAGACAAACGCACAAGTCCAGCCATGTTTGCTGTTCCAGAGTCAGGGTATGTGTATCTTACGATTGATTACACGATTGACGTAAAATCACCACATACGATTTGAAAGTGAACATATTTTGCTGAATTGAGATAATAAATATCTATACGTATTATTATTTCAAACTACGCAAAACAACAATACTGCAAAGAGAAGGACAACTTGACACAAACCCTTTTTTTTTTTTTTAACGTGTGGAAATCCCCTCGGACCGTCACCCCTCCGGGGTTTACGGCGGGGTTGTGTGTCGGACTCGGACCGACTAAAACCACACGGTGTGCCACTCTGCGCCTGTAACAGGAGGGATCCGGGAACAGCTGTTGTTAAGACATCCGGACCCCTCCTAGCGCCAGCCCGCTCCTGGTGCGGGCTCCGTCTCGATGTTGTTCCTCTCTTTAGGCGACGTCCGGCACACGCGGACGCCGCCCCCTCGCGGCTGGCCAAACTAATGCGGGTGGAGGGGAAACCCACCCCGTCCACCCGCGGCCACACTCAGGGCGGCATGAGGCTGTGGTAGGCGGGCCTCCGCCGCCCGGTTCGCCGGCGGCGGATCGGGTCCGAGTGGAGGTCGTCCTCCCGGGCCCTCTCCGCCGCCTCCTTCCGCGAGATTACTACCTCGCAGAAGGTTGCGACCGCGGTAAAACAACTGTCGCTACCGGCCATGGAGCGTACTACGGCCGGTAGCGAGAGATCCACTCCGATGACTGCAGTGAGGGCCCGGCGCTGCGCCGCCCATGCGGGGCAGACCGCCAGCGTGTGCTGGGCCCAGTCCTCACTGCAGTCGCAGTGGTGGCAGGCGGGACTCAGTTCCCTCCTAGCGACCGTGTGCAGGTATTTTCCGAAGCAACCGTGCCCGGAAAGCACCTGCGTCAGCCGGAAGGAAAGGGTCCCGTGCTGCCACCCTGCCCACTCGGCGATGACCGGCTGGAGAGCCTCCACGGCGGCGAAGCCAGCGCGTGGAGTCTCCAGCCGGAACGACCAACGAGCCATCGTGGCTCGGCGAGCGGCTTCGCGCCACTCGCGCACATCCTCGGGCGGAGGGCGAAATCCGCTCTCCGCCCGGGAGTCAGCCACTCGCCGATAAACTTCGGCGAGCACTTCCGCCTCCAAATCCCACGGGGGAGTTCCGGCCAACGCGCATGCCACCTCCGTAGAAACGGTGCGGTAACCGCGTATGGCTCTGACCGCCATTACCCTCTGAGGGCGCCAGAGGCGTACCCTATTCTGGGCGGTCAGAGCCGCCGCCCACACCGGTGCACCGTACAGCGCCATTGACCGGACAACCCCCGTGTACAGCCGTCTTGTCGCGACGCTGGGTCCACCCATATTGGGCAAGAGTCGCCCTAGGGCAGACGCAGCGCCGACCAGCTTTGGAGCAAGCTGTCGGAAGTGCTCGTCGAAGAGCCACCTCCCGTCGAGGATCAGGCCCAGATATTTCATCTGGGCCCGAACCGGTACGAGGACCGAGTTGACCACTATTGAGGCGCCAGGGGGCGGACCACGACGGGGCCCATGAAATAACAGGGCCTCCGTCTTATCGAGGGCCACCCGTAAGCCCAGCGCCTCAATGCGCCCGACCACCAGGGAGACTCCCCCTGTGGCCAGGCGCGCCGCCTCTTGGAAGTTTGCCCCCCGGGCTGTCACGAGGGTATCGTCTGCGTAACAGATTACACCCAGCCCGGGGGGGAAATCGGCGCGAAGGGCCCAGTCGTACCCTATGTTCCACAAGAGGGGTCCAAGAACAGACCCCTGTGGAACACCGCACGACATGGGCCGACACCTCAGATTACCTTCTCGGTCCTCGTACACGACGGTACGCTCCTCTAAATAGTCTGCCACTAGCCGCCTCAGGTACTTTGGCACCCCATGATAGTGGAGTGCTTCCCTGATGCAGCTGAATGGCAGACTATTGAATGCGTTGGCGATGTCCAGTGACACCGCCAACAGCACGCCGCCACAGCTCACGGCCTCTTCGGTCACGGCCCTCAGGCGCAACACGGCGTCGACTGTCGAACGCCCCGCCCGAAAACCAAATTGGGCGTCCGACAGATCGGGGCCCAACTTGACACAAACCCTGTACCAACCCGTCTGGCCAGCGTGGTATAGTAGGCATAAAACTTCCTTTTAAGGAGAGGCCTATGTCCAGCAGTGAACTGTTAAAGGCTGTTGATGATGATGATGATGATACGTATTTATCCACATCACAGTTTGGAAAAGAACAGGATTAACAAACAAGTGCATTCTAAAATATAGCAGGTACCCTACAAGCTCATACTTTTAAACTTCAGTGTTCCATGACATATAGTTATGTATAGGCCGGTGCAAATTAAACGAAACATCGAGCACTTCAAAGGTATGTTATACCTTACATAGAGATTGGATTAAATCCAGTACAAATAAATAATTAAGTATACAAGTTTATTTGCTGTATACAAATGCAATATATTAAATAGGTAAACAGTTTGCTACATCAAGATATAGTTGTAAAAAACGCAATGAAGCTACATCGCAGTAACTTGGATTTATATATCATATTCTATACGAAAGTGGTACATATCTGAAGTACTCGTTGGATATAAAAATTAAAAATGAATGACTCCGAGAACATACCGAGAGAGAAAACATAAACTCAACCTATAACTCAGAATAAGTGAGGGGCTTGAAAAGCAATGATTGCGCAAGGAAATGGCGTGCTGCGCCGTAACCGCAACATCACGAGGGTTCGAACGGAACTTCATCCTCCATCCTGCTTCCGTTCAATGCTCACTCGACAACACCTGGCATATAATTGTTTTCAACCGCAAAACAGGAAAGTAGAATGTTTAGAACAATCGCGAACTGGTGATTTTTAATGGGCTGTTGATCGTTATGACGATCGATATGGAGCTACAGCAATTTTTAATCGTTAAATCGCGTATTTAACGATTAAAAATTGCATGAGCTTACCGATTGTTACTTGATCACTATTGAACAACTATGCGTATGAAATGCAACGCTATTGGAACTACCGGCAGTCTATCTATATCTTGTCTATCTAATCGACTGTCGATACTCGATTAATGGCACGGTCAGTCCAACGAATAATATGTGCGCGCACTTGATAAATTACACAGTTTTATAAAGCTTTTTCTACCTGCTCCTGGCCTACACGTGTGATACTGACTAAACTCACAGAACTATTAAGCCATAGTTTAATCAATATCATTTAAACAATTAAAACTGAAGAATGTGTGGTGGTTGTTATTCGAACTGTTTTCTTAGTACTATATCAATAAATCAAACTGTTTGTGTAAAATAACTCCACCGCGCCGAGAACACGAGAGTTATAACGACACTTACCAGTGGTTGTAATAAAATTGTTTTTTCAACACGACTTGGAGTTTACTAGGAATATATCGATCAATTTGATTCTTTTTAGGTCAACTAGTACATTCATCCTACTTTATTTCGCTGGGTTATAGAACTACGTTTCAGAATTGCAAACAACTTTTTTTTATTAAAATATTCAACAACGTAACACAACACTTACCATACTATT